TGAATTTTAGTTAACTTGGCCTACAATTTCTTTCCCTTATCTGAATTCCTAGCTTTTCGTTTTTATGTTCTAATTACATAACTCAAAGGACAGGATGAAATACTCAGTATTTCAGAAAAAGTCACAAGATATAACAATCCTTTAATTATACCTAGATTAAAAAGGCTTTCTATTTTCATAACAGTAATTTTAAATATCAGCAGACAATAGGAAGCTATCCATGAAAATTGCATGGTTTTTTTTTGTATCATGCGTATCTCATTGTAAAAGAAAGAAGAGACCAGGCATTGTCAAATAATAAAATTGTTACGTAAAATTACCCTGTTTTTAATTAATCCAACATTTTAGAGAAAAAGTATGCAAGAAACTTTTAATAATTTCTGGGAACTCTAGTATACAACAACATCTAGTAATTGAATTTTTTTTTATCATGCTGTCAAAGACAATATATTGATTTAATTTATCCTAAATGTTACGCATGTTTAACAGTTAATCAGTGTTTAACTTCCTTGGTTCTATCTACAATGTCGCCAAAGCTGCATTTTAATAAAATTGATTTTCTTTGAACCACACGATAAGAGATTTAGAGTTTAAAAAAATAGAATTTTCAAACTTCTGATGAAATCAAAATCATCTTTTTTCATCGCTGAACTTTATGCAAGCTACGGATAAATTATATCGGAAATATAGTAAAAGAAAGTCAGAATATGATTGAAAGTCAAACAAATGCATTTTTCAATTTAAAGCAATTTTAAAAATTCCCTCACGGTTTTTTTTTAAACCAGATTGTAAAAGTACGCAAACATTACAAGGACTGTTCAATAAATAATGTCATGAGCTCTATGTATATGACATACAACATAGAAATCATAATTATGACATTAAGCTTGACTTTCGTTCATGATTGATTCTTTAATGAATTAATAACAGTTTATGTGACCACTTTTCATCACATAGTTTCATTGTGAGAAGTTGGAAAACTGGGGCTATTCGAGACACTGCATTAAAAATAAATGGTAAAGAATCGGTAAACTAGAGTGGAATTAAACGCTTCATGAAAGTGCTGTAAAACTCGGTACGACTTCCCAAGAAATATTCACTGAAATATTTGAAATTTACAGCAACCAATGCCTGTTTTATAGACACATGAGCAGGTGGATTTCAATGAAAAAAATAACATAATGGGCATCAAAAATGGGTACCGTCCTTGGGGACAAAGACTTACAACAACCAATTTACTGCTTTCCACAATTCAACAGATTATCACTGATGATGTTTTATTGACTTTAAGACACATAGCAAAATTGATAGGCGTCATTTTGGGGGTACTTTATACTGTTTTACAGAAATATTTGACAGTAAAAAAGCTTGGTACTCATTCATCACCCTTATGTTTTTAAAAAAAATAAGTGAAAACGACAGCGTGTGAGAATATCTAAACAATTATTTAAAAAAAAATCAAAAATTGTATGTATCCAAGTTTGTCTGAAATTCAAATAGATAGTGAAACTTAAATCCATTGCTTTAAACCCTCAAAACAAATAATTGTAACGGGGACCGTTACAGATGTTCCCCAAACGCTCCCCAACTCCCTATTTGTGCAAATTTCCTTTAAAACTTTTTTCAATATGCTTAGTATCGCAGGATTTCATAAAAGAATTTTAAAAGCTACAATGATATCAATTTTTTTGTCATTTATCGCAAACGCACGTGCATGCACATGCAAGGTGATCATGACATGTTGTCTAAACCATTAACATATCTTTATATTCCAGAATTCAATAAAAAGTCATAAAAATATAAAAAGTTTTTCAAAAATTGATCATACGCATTGCGTGTGCGCAGTGAAAGCACGTTCTTGCATTCAATTTTGATATCAATATCATGTAGAAATCCATAATACCTATTCATATTCTAAACTTCATCCTGTTTTTTGAGAAACAAGAAAGATATAGGCATGTAAAGTTTCAAACAGATTGCAGCAAATGTGCTTTCATGATAATTCTTATATAATTAGATCTTCATAATATGTGACTAAGTTGAAAATTTCAAAGGATTGTAAAACAAGAAAGATAAGACTTAAGTTTCAGCCAATCAGAGCAAACACGTGCATGCACGTAAGACAATTTTACAATGTCATCTTGTCCATACTACTACTATATTCAATTGTGAGTTTCAAAAAATTCCATCAAGAAAAAAAAAGTTGCTTCATCCATTATCTTGGTAATTTCACAGCACGTGCAAAAACACGTGTATATATCATGCTGTAGATCTTCAATTGTGTGACTAAGTTCAAAATTTTTAGGACGAAAAACAAGAAAGATATTGAGACTTTAGTTTCAACCAATCAGAGCGAAGCGCACGTGCATGCGCGTGAGATCTTGCTATTTTGACCATGTCAACACGTCTATACTACTAATATATACTTATATTACGAGTATCAAAGCATATAATCAAAAAATAAAAAAGTTACGGCTGTATCTATTATTTTGGTCATTTCACGCGTTGCACGTGCGCGCTCTTGCAAGCAATGACCTTCGTTCCGCAAATCTACATAACATGCCTACTGACCCTAAAAAGGTTTCACCTAAGTCGGACGTGTAGTTTACAAGATCATTCGCGGAAAAGATTTTCCCAGGAAGAAGAAAAATAATAATAATAATAATAATAAGAAACAGAGTAAAAACAATATGTTCCCCAACTTCGTTTGGGGAACATAATTAGATGCACTTGACAAAACAGCCAAGGTCTGAGAAGAGCAAAAAATTGCAAAAGCACAAAAACAGTTTTAAATGCCATTTTCCCTTAAATATTAGTTATCTTGTTGTTCAAATTCTTATTCGGGGATCCATTTCAATATCTGGAGAAGTCCAGAAAGCAATTTTTTGCAATAAAAATTGAAAGGTTATGAGAGGATGGAACCAGGGATCAACCACATTAAATTTCTTCATGACATCGTCCAAACCAACACGCCATGAAGAGTTAAAGAGTGTTGGGGATAAACGGAAAGTTAATGTTTTGTCACACCAACAATATTCGCCAGATCTTTCACCCTTTGACTTGTTTCATTTTCAAACTTGATAAAAAAAAACAACACCTTTCAGAAAGATGAAACAAGTCCAGGAAATCATAGGTTCTGCCATATCCCAGTATACGAAGGGTCATACTCATAATTGTATTCTAAAAAAAAAATCAGGAATTGGAGAAAAATGTTACGGACATGAGTTTTAATTAAAAGAGAATATTTAAATGGAATCATTAAGGATAATTGTTACTTTCCGAGCACCGATGACATTATTTATTGAACAGCCCTCGTATATACAATTCTATTTTTTTTTTTTTTTAAAAAAAACCCCACTCTTATACCCCAAGAATAGTATTTACTGTACATTTTCATTTGTTACGATACCGCTGTACATGAAAAAATAGATTTGTTTTAATATAAAAGAGAACGTATAAAATGTGAGTATTTAATCATTGAACGGAAATTTAATGGATGCAGAAATGAACAGTTTTACCACGCTTTGTGAAAATTAAAATTGTAAGTCAATTGGAAATATAACTTCAAAGTCAGAAATAAGTTATACATGTAACTTAAAACGCGAGAGAAGAAATGACTATATTTCTATTTAAAATCTTTGTTCTTCGTTCTTCAAATGATTGAGATGTATTCTTTGTGATCAAATGTCTGAGCGACGTTATCATTAATTGGTTTTTAGAAATTTTCCTTTTTATTTCAGTTAGGCTCCCTGTGTTAACAAATCCATGTCTTTCTAAGGATTTATACATTCTGAAAAATTATTTTAAAAAAAGATGGGAACTTTTTAAGATATAAAAGGGTAAACACAAGCATTATGATTCATGACATATTATATAAAAAATAAATACGGAAAGATAAAATTGGATTAGAATAATAAATGTTTATTGATTTATTTACTTTATATAGGAATAGAAAGTATGAAAATGTTTCGTAAAAATGAGTGGCATATATTTGATTTGTAGATAACATTTAAACCTTCAGGTAAAGTCTGTTTTACTAATTTAAGAACTTTATCACATCTATTGGCATAAGAATCAATATTGAAGATTTCAATGTGAAGTGCGCTAAATCTATAGGTTTATAGGGGAAAATCATTTATAATTTTTTTTTATAGAAAATAACAATAATACAGGTGTTCTTCGTCAACAAGAACAACTTACCAGGTAGTCTGTTTGATCTTCTAAATATTCTTGGATCCTTCCATCAGATAAATTTAGGAAAAGAAAGAAAGAATTATTCAATATTTTACATTTCGTTGCAATCCATACGGATTCCTTTTACAGCGAAAAAAAATTACGAAGTATTAAAATTTCTTTAACGTCAGAATTGCAAAAGAACCCCCACCCTCATTTTTATAACTTAAATGTAGAGAATGGGTAATATATGCCAAAGAATAGTTTTAATATGTTATACAAGAATGTTGTTTGGTTGTGCAGACACATGACAAGACATGTAAAAGAACATTTGATGTCTTTATTTTAGAGAACATTAAACACAGAACTAACAGTAAATCAAAACAGAAGATCTACATATTCCTTAAATAATTAAAAAATCTTTTAAAAACTGAAAATGAAATGATTATGAGTCCTTTTAAAAATAAAAAAAACTTTCAAGGAAGTTTGAATCTCTAATCATTTCTTTTTTACCAAGTATGCACGTACATGTGGACATTGTTAAAAAACAAAACAAAAAAAACTCTGATGTTGTTAAGCTCTACATAAAAGTAAGGTCTCATTTTTTGTTTTATCGTGAAACATTGTAAAATTAGGAAGATTTAATCCAAATGTCCTAACTTTATGTAGTCATCAAAAATATTTACAATAATCATCAAAAGTATATACAATGTATATAATAAATAATATATTTGGTTTAAACCATATTTACACAAAACAATGTGTACAAAAAAGTGAGTGCATTCTAAATATCGTAAAGGAATCAAATAGTCATTCTTTTAAAATTATATTTGACTGAAATACTTCAATTACACTTTAAAATTTCTGCTTTTAGTGTACATTTAAAAGTATGCATCTCTTTTTCGTTCAAATAAGCACTTACAAAATGATTACTCATGTTTTGTTGTGGATATTAATTCATACGATCAAAAATACTCTTTTGAAAAATTGTTAGCTACATTAACTTCTTTGAAAACTCCTTTTACAATTTAACAAAACACCAAACACAACAAAAACAACAAAAATTATTCAGAACTAAGCAAAAGCCCATCTGTTATTTCCTCCCGTTTCAAACAGTCCCACTGTACTTCCGGAACGGCTGCTATCTTTACTTCCGATTCCAACAGACGATGTGCTCCCGCGCCTCTCGTCCCACAATCCCACCGGAAGTAAACTTCCTCTCCTGTCATGTCTGTCATTCCATCCAGCGGATGACGTGGAACTTCCTCGACGGTCGTCCCAGCCTCTGTGATGGCGTTTTACTTCTTCCAGTGAACGAGGACTAGCTATTCTTTCGTCGGCCTCGCGCACTCGGGTTGTATTTTTGGGTTTATTATTTCGCCAGCAATACACACAATATTTGTAAATGCAATATAAGAATGCCCCAACAACTAATAAGCATAATGCAATAATAGTTGCGATCTCAAGCGGTGTTAGGTGTATTCGTTTCCAGCTATCGTCTACTTTGGGTGGAAGAGTTTTGTATATAGTTTTTGGTGTGGGCGAAACAGGTGCTCGCTTTTCACGTCTCTCTCCAAAATCACCGATGTCCTTTGAAAAGACAGTGCCAAGAGCTGAAAAAAAATATAAAAAATATAGCATTTAATTTCTTTTTTTTTTCTTCTATCAATTATTGATTTTAAATGCACAACTAATTACAAATGAAAGTGGACCGACAAACTGAGGCAAAACATGTAAAAGACCTCAATAAATCTTTTCCGCTAGAGGGCGACTCTCCTTTATCTGAATATTAGGATAAAATGGTTTAATTCAAAATATACAGAAATGTTTTTCAAATATAAAAAAGGGGAGAAAAACACAAAATAAATTGAAATGTCTATTTCAAAAATGTCTAAAAGACATTGCGTTCGGTATCGCAACTTTACTGATGCCTAACAAAATTGACTTCGTTCCTTGTGTTAAAAAATTGTTTTTTCTTATTTTGGCGTTTTTAGAATAATAAATAGAACATTTAGAAAGAAGAAGAGAAAAAAAAAAAACCCAAGAAAGTTGATATTTATAAACTTACCACATCCCAGAAGAAGAACGTACACAGATATAAGAAACTTCATCCTTATGTTTGATTTTTACAACTTAGGCTGAAAAAAAGTTAAAATTACATTTTATTTTATTAAGACCTATGTAAAATTTTACTCAGAAACATTAACAATAAAATTGCCATTTCAAGTTATTTTAAAACCACCTTTACTTTAATAAATTGAATTAATGATGAATTAAAATTGTCTGAATCATACAAAATTTAGCAGAATACTAAAGTTCACATTTTCGTTACCTTCCGAAAAAAGGACGTCATATAATAAAGGAGGCCATAGAAACACCCCAGAGTCCGCGATACAAATGACAGCGTTTAAAACCCGATCGTGTCATAAAGGGGTGCTCAGAATGAACTGTCACTTTAAGAGATAAAAATAAGTCTTCTGTTTACCACCGGGCATCATCCGATAATTGATTGATTTTATCATATTAAACAACTACACAAAAATGACTTCAATACATTGGACCCCCTTTGATTAACATGCCGCTGTTATTAAGAGCTATGCTGGGAGAAGTGACAGACACCAAACGCTTTGGATCCCAAATAAAAAGAAACATTCCAAGTTTTCATACCCAGAAGATCCTTTAGGTTTGCTATATATATACGTATTGGTTCTTACAGAAAGGTTTTCTTATATACATTTCTCCTGAGAGAAATGAGAACAATTGAAGTATTTTATGTACTCTTTGTTAGCTTAGATGTTTCGGAGTGATTGGATTTCATTAAAAGTCTGTAAGATATGCGCTGAATAATTGATTAATTTTGGTTACGTAATTATGTTTTTTATGAGATCGATGATATTAAGAAGAAACTGAATTCAAAATAATACAAATTAATATTACATAAGCATTGAACATATCCCAAATATTTAAACATACACAATCATGAATTCACTTTATGAGGTGCCTGTACGAAATTTATGTAGGTTGGGACCCATTTTTGTTTGTCAAGGTTCTTCAGGAAAGTTGAAAAATTTTTCCTGGTCCCCCACTTTCCAAAATGATACTTTCATACAAAGTAGGATAAATATAGTCCATAGAATAAATATTAACTTGGTTTTTAAAACAATTTTATACAATTTGACTAGATATTGTAATAACTAAATTGTAATTGACAATCAAACTAAGATTTTTTTAATGATCAGAAACACATCTACGTACATGTAGTTATCTTCAAAGTAAGAGAAATTACAAGGTTATTTTGAGTAATGCTTCAAGATAAATTTAGTTTAAAAAAAATTATTTCTCAATTGATATTAATCTAAAAATTTAGAACTTATTTGTCCAATCCGAGTTATAAATTTCACAGACAATAAAATGCATTCAAATCCTCAATGGACATGGTAAGGGATTTCGGAACCTTAAAAATATGTTTTCTTACATTTAACTTCCGCTGTTTTTAAATAATTTTCCTCATGTGAAAACAAAGTTTAAAATCTGGGTTTAAAAGAGAGCGAAAAACGATGATAATGATATGAAACTTTGAAATTTCCGCGACAAATTCCTCATTATGTTGAGAACAATGGCACTGTTCTTGTTTGCTAAAGGGTCCTCGAAATCCTTTGATTGTTAAAATAGTGATTTAGTTCTGAAGAAAGTATAATATATTACACTAATATCAAAAGCTTATCATCTATTCCTATCTGGATATTGCTGTTTAAGCCAACATGGCCACAATCTTGGCATGTTTAGAAGAAGTAAGTAAAAGAATATCGATTTTTGAATTTAGGAACTTTCAAAGGCTTAAGGTCATCTACCGATATGACCCAGGTTTAATCGGTCTGGACAAGAGAACCAGAATTAGCACGAACGTACCAATGTGTTCTGAACCAATTTTGAACCTTAACCTCAAGAGAGTTTTCTATTATTATATAAAATTTTAGCTTTATTTTGTTTAAAACATAACTATATGATTGTGTTGTTCATTTAGAAATTCATTTAATCTTACGAAGCTGCTTTTTGGTACCAGTAAACCGTAAATGAAACTCTTTGAGTGATAATTATGATTTTTAATTGAATATTTTGAATATCTAAGGATTTACAACACGGAGTTTCAAAGCTTCGTTTCAATAGACATTGATTCAATAGATTTAAAAAAAATGTTTAAAACAATGTGTGTTTATTCTGTCGCTAAGAATGGGGATATATATTGAAGTTTAGACAACTTTAACCTGAAATCCATAACTTTTTATAAAGGACAGTTGATAGAAACAAAAATGGATGCCTGGACTGGTATTTTTTTTAACCTAATTTCATTGCAAATGATGCAAATACATGTAATAAATTTCTAGAATATAAAGAAATTGTAAACCTTCTATGACGTTTTAAATTCTACTCTTCTGAAACCATCCTAATTATTCTATGCAAATATTTTTCACTTCAAATTCCACTTTTGTGCAACTTAGAATAAAAAATTAAAAACTACCCGGTGAAACTTATTCATTTTATTCATTAAAAAATGATACAAGTTGTTATTTTCTAAATTTTTGACAAAAGTTTGTTTGTATCATCTGTCCTTAAATTCTGTACACATTTTCTTCGAAATATAAAATTCGTTTTTAAGCCCAGCGAGTTTATGAACGCTTTTTAATTAATTTAGAGTAAACACTCACGCAAAATCTCATAGTTTTTAGTGATTTATATGAGATTTAGAAAGATAGGAGGGTTGATCCAAAAGTAATGTCACAACTTTGATAGAATTGCTATAAATGACGTAAAACAACAAAATTACACGTGATAGAAGCTTTATTTATTTCAAATCAGGCCTGAAAAATTGACAGGAATATGATGTTTACTTTCTAAAATATCGGATTTTAAACATTGTGAGTTTATGGTAGTCACCGCACCTAAATATAACGTCATATGACGGATATGCGCCGTCATGTTTTTAAGCGTTTCCCTTTCGTTTCATTAAAAAATATTTGTGATTCGCAAAAACTTTCACCAATTTCACTTTCTTTAAGAATTCTTGGTACCATTATACACTCACTCTTTTCATAATTTAGCCTTCTGTCAAAATTTTTTGAACAGTAGCATAAGACAAACTTGAAAATTCATATGTCATTTTATCCGTCTGTGTTTCTTGACAACGTCAGACACCATTGAACGTCGCCCTCCAATCTCCTATTTTTCGGTTTTGTCCTCTGCTGATCGTTCAATGACCCATCACCTACCCAAAATCACTGAAACTATCTATAAAGAAGTCTTTTATTTACATTATTTATTCTGTGAGTCTGATTAATTAACTTAATTGTCGCTAGTGATGATTCCCATATTTTTGAAGCAAAAATGCATTACAACTCATCGAGCTGTAATGTATCATTCCGACAGTCTTTTTGTTCAAAATTCAACATAGTAAAACAACAATGTTTATGATCACAAATACCAATGCCATCATTTAATTTTCAGTTAAATACTAAAAAATAACATGAATTGTGTATTTCAAAAAATTGGGAGATTAGGTGCTCTTTTAGAATCTGTTTAATGTGTTTGTCTTTTTCATTCTAAGAAAAAAATAAACTTTTAAACGTGACGTTCAGTTGTGACGCGGCGACATCCCTTATGCTCTATGCTTTAAACATCTACTAGTATAAAATAAATTAAAATAAACATCATTGAATGAAAGGTTCAATCTTAATTAGATTTGTATTTGTGCATCTTTCGGTATATTGTATTTGATAATATGACGCCAAATATGAAAGATATGGACACTGTGACATTACTTTTGGATCAACCCTCATAATTTTAAATTCATTTAAACGTATCTTATGATCAACGACGGTTCCTTTGAACATTGAACATCTTCTTAATTATTTTATTTGGAGTAAGAAAAAAATTGACAAAAATAGAAGTTCGCTTCATTTGCTTAGTTACATGTAAGTTAATTCACTAGAAATATCAATAAAATTTTGTTGGTAGATATAATAATGTTCATATCACCGGCTTTTCATTAAAGCTTACCGAAATTTTGACATGCATATCTATGAACCTTTTGAGGAATAAATGAAGAATCATTATGATTTTTATGCAGATATTTTTAATGGAAGTGAAGTCCTAGTCTAGAATTTGTTTTCGATTGAACTTAAAAAGTCTAGTTTCTAGATTTATAAGATTTATTGCCCTTTTATTCAAATCAATATCTGTAGGCCCCTATACAGGTATATTATCTGAAAAAGCTTTTTTATACCCTCAAAGAGTTTGAAGATTAGACAGATTATTTTGGAAAATCCTTACACGTGAAACAATGAGGCAAATCGGCCCCATGGATTGAAGAATTAACAAGGGTTGATAATATACGCTCAACGTGTGAAAAATTCTGAAATGAATTGCAGTAAAAAATCAATGTTTAGCAAAAAAATTATCATCAAAGAATAAATGTAGAAATGCTTTAATTAAACTGATCAAATATTTATTTACCATGTTCTCATCAGAAATTCTGACTATCCTATCCTTTATCATCTATTTGTTTTAAGCAATCTGAAAGTGATATTTTTATTTTTTTTAAAAACAAGTTAGGTTCCTTTAAGCTATTTAAAATTAAAGAATATATATTTTTCTGTTTCGATATACCCCCTCTTGAAAAGTGGGAGTGTACACGTGTATATAGTGATCGGAATGTCCGTCCGTCCGTCTGTTACCCTTTGGGGTACCAATCTCTTATCCGCAACTCCTCTCCTACTAATGAATGAAATTTAATGAGACTTTTACGGATTCTTTGTTACATAGTGTCCTTAGTGCCATTATGCTCCTCCTATTTCACTTTTTGATCGGAGACATATTTCGGGTTTCCCATTGGAAAACACTGACAATGTTATTTTTTTATGATATTGAAGGGTACCCATCTCTTATCCGCAACTCATCCTATACCACTGAATAAAATCTAATGATACTTTCACGGATTCTTTATTACAAAATATCACTGTGCACCTTCTATGTAGCTTTTTGATCTGACAGTTATTTCGAGTCTCCCAGAGCAGAACATGGATTTGGCCATTATAATCACATGATAAAATGGGAGGTATAACTTAGTGAGATCACTGCTCATAGTTAATGTACCCCTAGGTTTGAATTGTAACAGACTGGAATAAAAAAAATTGAAGGTCGAATATTGATCAAAGATTTTTCCATACAAATTTAGATATATCGACTCCGTATTGTCAATTAACAATGGTAATTTTCATTCTTATGTCGATGGTGAGCTTGAGACAAAAGATACCACAGAGTCTGATACGTCTGTTTCATATTTTAATAATTTACTTGAAAATGACGTTAATTGTAATCTAACAACCAAGCTCTGTGATAAACGTGATAACTTTAACTTTTGTATCGTCAACTTCCCTTATT